CACACAGAGGCTGGTTCCTCTAAGATCCAGGATGTGGGAACTCTTCTCTTCCACTTCCCATCTGAGGGTCTTCAGCAGGATCCCACGATGGCCCGTGCCAGCCCCTCTCCAAGGACGGCCCTCCTCTGCTGCTCCTGCACAAGCCATTGATCACGTCTCTTTGGTTGTGTTACTGTGAAGAAAATATTTTCATTTTTACCACATGATGTCATGCTAAAAAAAAAAAAAAATTAACAAAACCCAAGCCACACTCTCCCCCCTCACCCCACACCCAAACCAAAACAAACCAATGTGTTTCATGTCATTTTATCCTTGTGACTGGCTTTATTACTTTTGGAACATACAACACTTCTGTCAGGCATGTTGAATGTTAAAAGGCAAGAGACTCTTGGCAAATCTAGAAAGCCAATTACAGAATATGCGCTGTTGGAGATAGGGTGACAAGAGAAAGAAGTCAGCCCTCTCCTCATACACACATCCAAAACACAGACAGTGGAATCACGTGGAAGAAAAATACCACGACTCACAACAGTGTTTATTAAAAATAAAAAAGGTATATAAAAGTGATATATCTCAGTTTATCTTTTAATGTAGTAGACGGCAACATAGAATTTTGAAGTTAAGTTTGATATAGGGAAAAGTGACTTTTTTTAAACCTTTCTTGCAGCAAAGCAATATCCTATTTATTTGCTTGCTTGCTTGCTTGTTTTATGTTCATTGGTGTTTTGCTTGCCTGTGTATGTGAGAGCATCCTGAAACTGAAGTTACAGACAAGTGTAAGTAGCCACTTGGGGCTGGGAATTGAACCCAAGCCCTCTGGAAGAGCAGCCAGAGCTTATAACCACTAAGCCATCTCTCTGGCCCCGAATTGATATTTCTAAGATAAATAACTTAAGGAATGCTTACTTGACATACAACCAAGGGGGAAGGGAAGCCTTGCTACTAACAAGAAGATGAAATTGCATTCCGTGCCTAAATATTTCGCATTTTTAAATATTACCAACATTAATTCACTGAGCTTTCAAGGCATATCTGCTGCGCACTGTGCAGTAAAAGCGTGCTTACATGTAAATATCAATTAAAGGATTTAATTTGATCAACGTAAACACAAAGAAGGTTGGAATAAGGGATACTTCGATTTTGAATCAACTAAATTCTGTAAAGCCAGAGGGGGAGCTGGAGAGAGAATCATCTGAGGAAACAAACCTGAAATTCCAGTGTCACTCAACCAGCCCCTCACGGTGTGCTACTGTGTGACTGCCAAGCACCAGAGATGTACAGACGGGAAGACAGGCTGTGACTGAAGAAGGAAAGGTCGCCATAGGCACTTGGTTTGGAGTGTTTGTGGCCTTTGAGGGTCCTGCCTGTGTTGGCTCCAGCCTGAATTCTCTTGTTCACACCGTGTAAACAAGCTGTCATCTCCAGTGAGTTCCCGCCGTGCCTTTCCTGTCACCCTGGACTACAGCTCCCTGGAAATTCTGAGCCAGAACAAGTCTTTCCTGCCTCAGTTTTTGTTGTTTTGGGGTTTGGGGGGGGGTTGTTTTTGTCTTTGTTTTAATGTCAGGTATTTTGGTTGCATTGATGAGAAAAGTTACATATACAGACGTGAGTTTTGGCTTTAAAAAACTTCCAAAATACAAAGTGATAAAGAAAAAAAAAAGGATAGATACATAAATAATAACAAAATACACAGCAAGGTGGTAATCATGGTAACAAAGGAAGCCTTCATTGAAGGGATTTTAGGAAGCCTTTGTGAAGTTTTCTCTCCAGAAAGCAGAGCACAGATTCAAAGCGGGGTGGGGGGTGCTGAGGGCATCATCTCATGTACCAGAGAAGAGCACAAAGAAGGGAAAAGCCTGAACCATGAGCTGGGAGTAGTGGAGGGCACAGAGAGGAGGGCTGTCTGGCTCAGGCACTATTCAGGAAGGAAACTAAAAGCACGTTCATTTTGGATATTTTAAAAGATTTATGAACGTGTGCAGAAGAAATTAGGAAACTAGGCTGAGGCTGTACTTCAGTTGGGAGAAGCTTAGCTCACACACAACAATCTTCACTGATGTCTAGATGTCATTTGTAGCACACCTCCCTGTAATCCAAACACTTGGAAGCGAGAGGCAGCATGGGCTGCCTGAGATGAGGGAGTGTCTTGAGACCAGCGACAGAGGAACGCCATCCCTCTTCCTTGCCTGAGGTGTCAGCGTTTCCGATTATTACAATACTGTCCTGTGCTAGAGTCCAGAAAGAGAATGGCCGTCTTATGAGCACTAAGAAATGAGAGAAAACAGATGCATGAAACTGCATGCCTGGTATTAGGCTTTTAGTATTTTTACACATTTATGAGAGTTTAAAGACAGCCACCCACCATGCGTCAACTTAAGGTTTCTCGATGATGAAGACACAGAGTCCTGCTCACAAAGGCGCTCAGTTTTTTCACTTCACTATTGTATTCAAGAAATTGCATTCAACATAAAATACAAACTTATATATAGGCTTTGTTTTAGATTCTTTGGTCCCATTGTGGGCCAATGTAAGTTAAAGGACCAGGTTCAACTACTGTGGTGATTGAATGAGAAATGTCTCCCATGGGCTTGGGTATTTGAACTCTCAGTGATACTTTTTGGGGAGGGTTAGGGGGTGCAGCCTTGCTGGAGGATGTATCTCTGGGGGTGCTCCTTGGGAGGTCAAAGCCTCCAGCCCCTTCATCTGTGTCTGCTTCATGTTTGCAGTTTGAAGATGTGCGCTCTCAGCTTCCTGTCTCAATGCCTGCCACTGGCTGCCAGGATTTTCCCACCACAATAGACACTTACCCCCCTGGAACCATAATCCCAAACAAACTCTTTCCTTATAAGTTGTCTTGGTCATGGACATTTTATCACAGCGACCTAAGAGCTATGGCGACCAGTAGGTCACATGTATATGTGACTTTGGCTTATGCTTTTTCATCTTACCGTGAAGTTCTGGGATAGCTGGGCAGTGGTAGCACTCACCTTTAATCCCAGTACTTGGGAAGGCAGAGGCAGGCACATCACTGTGAGTTCGAAGCCAGCCTGGTCTACAAAGCGAGTCCAGGACAGCCAAGGCTATATAGAGAAACCCTGTCTCAAAAAAAAAAAAAAAAAAAAAAAAGTGCCAGCCACTGGTGGTGTAACCTTAGTTAAAAGCCCATGGCTGGGAGAACCATATCCTAAAGAGAAAACTACTGCTGTTATTTCGCTAACAGGATACAATGTACCTGTCGAATTGTCTTCTAAATAACTGTGCTTAGCCCCAAAGAGCAGTTTTGCTGCCAACTATGGTCAGAGAAGCTCCTTTTTATAGGGGCAGCAGTTGCTGCAGAGACTCATAACTGGTCAATGTGTTGAGGATAAGTGACTATTAAGTGTTTATCTATCAATGGCACATGCACATCACCCCTTCCAAGACTTGGGAACACGGCAGAAAGGCATGGAAAATGTAACAGCTTGAGGACAGGGTGGAGAGTTGTGAAATGCCGTCCTCCAAAAATGACATGATCACAGCACTCTTGACTTCTAGCAGTTACGCTTATCTGCAAAACACTGGGACTATAGACACCTGCCATGGACTGGGAGGGGTTCACGCCACCCCGGCCCAACCCCCAGGAGCTATAGGTGTTGGGATATATTTAAAAATATGCCACTGAAGGAGATTTATTGGCTGGAGATGGAGAGGGAAGGGGAGAGAGAGATGGTGGGGAGAGGGAATACCCTGACAAAGAGAGGAAAGAGAGCAAGAGAGGAGCGAGAGTACAAGAGAGAGACAGTCTTTTTATAGTTCTTGCACAGCAGTGTAGCTGAACCGTGTCTGCCAGGTGCGTCTGCCACACACCTGGTGAACAACAAACGATGACATCATAGGTTACTAGGCAACCCAGAAGCAGGCTGCCTATACGCTAACAATCAGTAGGTAATAGTTGCTGGGGAAGAGAAAGAAAATGTCTTCAGTAGGGTAGCGACTGGCAAAGTGCCCATGCTTTTATAAAGAGCATCTTACCCATGCATGCCCTTGTAAGCAACCCTAATGAAAGTCACTGAAAAAGCCACAAAGAAAAAGAAGAGAAAAGGAAGGAAGGAAGGAAAGAAAGTAGGAAAGAAAGAAGATAAGACAAGACATGAAAGTAGAAGAAAGCCTAAGAAGCAGAAGAGGATCAACAAGAGCGGGAAGGACAGAAGAGAGGATAAATATGGTCAAACTATATTATATCCACGTATGAAAACTTTATGATTAAACCCACTGTCATGTATAACTAACATGCAAATAAAATGTGAAAAAGTTCAGCCTGTGAGTGCAGGGGAGAAGTGGTGAGTGCAATCCCCCTGTCCTCTAAGCTCCCAGAACACCAAAGCCTGACCCTGATGCTTAGTCACGCACGTGGCGGCTAGTTTTAATTCTCGACTTGATTTATTGTAGAACCTCTTGGGAAAAGAGTCTCAATGAGGAACTGCGTAGATGAGTTTGGTCTATGGATATCTCTGTGTGGCATTGTCTTGATTATATTGAAGTGTGAGGTCCCACCCATCATGTTGGCACTATTCCCTAAGCAGCGGATCCTGAACTATGTTAAGAATGAAGAGTGAAGCATCGCAGCATATTTTGTTTTAGTCCCAGGACTGCGGAAGCAGAGGCAGGTGTCTTTCTGTGAGTTCAGGATTAGGCCCATCTGTAGAGAGTTCTAGGCCAGCTAGAGCCATATAGTGAGACCTTGTCTCCAAAAGCAACAGCAGAGTGAGCTGTCCAAAAGCATTCACGCGTTTATTCTCTCTGTTCTTGACTGCGGATGTAGCTAGCTGTTTCATGTTCCTAGTGCTTTGAATCCCCTGAGATGGTGAACTGTAACATGGAATCATGAATTAAATCAAGCCCTTTCTTCTTTAAGTTACTTTTGTTAAAATATCTTTAAAAAAAAAAAGACAGAAATTGACCTGAGAAGTGTAATCATTGCTGTGAGAAACCTCACCATGTGGCTTTTAAACTTCGGAATTGTTTGCTTTGGCAGTACATTTACTAAAATTGGAACGATACAGAGAAGATTAGCATGGCCTCTGAGCAAAGATGACGCGCAAATCCATGAAGCATTCCATATCTTTATTATCTTACTCTATTTATATTGAAATTGCTCTGGTTCAGAATCTTGCGGGGAGGTGGGGTTCTACATGGTTCCTTGAAACTTTGGAATTGCTTCGTGGGAGGAATGTAAAAGTGGTGGGTACCTTGGGCTACAAAAGCCATTGAATGCTAAAACCAGTGCTTGATGGGTCATTCTAGTGGGAGCTTGGAAGACAGCAATTCTGAGAGAAACGCAAACAGACGCTGAGATCTAGCACATAAGTATTCAGAGGGGAACAAGGACTCTAACAGGCCTTGGTCTGGAGCTGTTCTTGTGACATTTGGCCAAGAATGTGGCTTTCTTCTGCCCATATCCTGAGAACCTGAATGAACTTGAAAAGGATTTTCTCAGGGTCAGTGGCAGAAGTTGATACCACTGTGGCCTATGGGGACTAGAGTATGTCTTTATCTTGCAGCAGAACCTGGAAAGGCCACAAACATTGTCTACATGGTTTTGAAGGCTTGAAAGATACAAGGCTGAGGGCTTGGGGTCACAGAGTAGAGTTAAGGACAGACACTGTGTGGCTTGGTTCAAATCCCTGTGGCGAGGCCTTAGGAAGCCATTATGTGAAGCTGTAAAGGTGAAACGAGCTACAGCTGGAGAGAACAGAATATTGGAGATCTTAGGGTCCATAGACGTCTAACAAGGAAAGCAGCAAGTTTTCAATAGAGCTGGCTTAGGCCTTAGAGGGAAATTGTTTGTACTTTAGTTAGCAGAGATGGAGAGTTGGGACTGCCTTTTGTCCAAGCCTTTTGGAGCCCAGCTAATTATCAATTTGACACCATGGTGAATTACCTGAAGAGAGTCTCAATGAGGGACTGTCTAGATCAGGCTGGCCTATGGACATGTCTATGGGAGATTGTCTTAATTATATTAATTAAAGTGAGAGGACCCATCCCATATGGGTGGTCCTGTTCCCTAGGCAGAAGATCCTGTATTGCATTGAGAGTTAGGAGTGCAAGCTGAGCATGAGTGAGCATGTATTCATTCACTATCTGCTCCTGAAGGGGGATGTCAAGATGCTCAAGTTCTCCTTGCCTTGACTCCTCTGCAGTGATGGACTACAATCTGAAACTGTGAGCTAAAGTAAATTCTTTCTCCTCTGAGTTGCCTTTTGTTGGGGTATTTTATCATAGCTGTGGAGATACTCATAGAAGTGTCTTCACAGAGTTCATTTTTATGCTGAGATCAGAAGTCATATGAGTCTGAGAGTTAACAGTTCCTTCAGAACAATTTTATTCCCAACTTTTGAACCCTCTTTATATCCTGTAGACATACAGTCACCATGATGGATTTGAGACTGCCTCTTTCACTCCATCTTTGGCAGAACTTTCCTTGTGCACAGAAAGATAGGCACAGCTGCTACTAGTCTGGTCACTAGGGACATGCCAGTTAGTGAAGGGGACACATTGGGAAACAAAAAACAAGGGAAGAGCAAGAAAGGTGCTAGGCCTGGTGGTGCAAGTCTGTAATCCTCGTACTCAGGAGACTGCGGCAGGAGACTCCAGCCTGGACCATACGGTGAGTTCTAGGATACCTTGAGATTCAGATTTGTTTTTGTTTTGAGACCCTGTCTCAAAACAAACAAAAACAAAACCCAAAAAGTCTCGCCTGCACAATGCTCTGCATCAGCTGAATTATTTTATGTTTATCATGTCTGCTAATACAAAGGGATGCAAACTCCTCCTGACTCTGAGCACTGGCCTACCCTTGAATGATGGGGTTCAGACAGCCTCAGCATGACCTGCAAGAACAGGCATCCACACCACAGGATGGAAAGGAGAAAATATTGAGAGGGAAAAGAGTCTTCAGGAAGAGGGTGGAAAATAGAGCAGACACCAAGAAGACTTAGTTGTGCGCCTCTACTCATGCCAATGATTTGTGTGCAAGAAGATCTCAGAAAACTCAGGTCTGAAGGGAATTTCTGTACACAAAAATTACGTGGATGTTTGAGGGCGGAAGGTAGTGGTGTACGCTTGTAACCCTCGCTTTTGGAAGACAGAAGCAAAAGATAAGGAGATCAACGTCATCCGCAGCTACATAATCTTTGAAGCCAGACTGGGCTACAATAAAACCCTGTCTCAAAAACAAAAAATTAAAAAAGTAAAGAATTAAAAAACAAAAACAGGCCTGGAGCCTGGCATGGTGGCGCACACCTGTAATCCTAGCACTCAGGGAGGCAGAGGCAGGCAGATCTCTGTGAGCTTGAATCCAGCCTGGTCTACAAATCGAGTCTAGGAGAGCCAAGGCTACACAAAGAGGAAAAAACAAACAAACAAACAACAACAACAAAAACAGGAATGAAGAGATGGCTCAGTGGTTATCAGCACTTTCTGCTTTCACAGAAGAAGTAAGTTTGGACCCCAGAACTCATACCATATGAATCACAGTCATCTGTTACTTCAGAAGAGGCCTCCACAAGAATGTGTATATGTTTATGTGTTTACGCATGTTCACCCCTTTAAAAAAAAAAATAAGGCAAATCTTAAAAACAAATAGGTGAGGGCTGGAGAGATGGCTAGGAGATTAAGAGTACTGGCTGCTCTTCCAAAGGTCTTGAGTTCATTCCCAGCAACCACGTGGTGGTTCACAACCCTCTAAGATGAGATCTGGTGCCCTCTTCTGGCCAGCAGATGTACATGCAGGAAGAACACTATCCATGATAAATAAATAAACCTTAAAAACAAACACACAAACGAAAATCGAAAAAGCCAAACAGAAAACATGGACGACTAGGGGCCAAGTGTGGCGGTAAGTCACAGAACACTTAAAGTAGATGTAGAAAAATCACCTCAAGTTTCAGGCCAGGTGAGGCTACAGAATAAGACCCTGACTCAGAACAGTAACGGGGGCTTGCAAAATGGTGTCAGCAGATAAAAATAAGTTGCTGTAAAAGATGATGACCTCAGTTTGACTGACAGAACCCAAGGTGTGAAGAGAATCCACTCCAAAAAGATGATCTCTGACCCCAACATGTGACCTTCGCCATTTGCACCCACAAATGCATAACACACAGAGAGAGATTTAAAATACAACAAAAAACATGGAAGCTTGACTTTCTGCATAAGTACATAGGGCAATAAAATGGAATAAAAGGGAAAGGGTTACTGGAGAGCAAATCAAGTGTTCAATAGGCCCAACTGAAAAGCAGTAATCGGCTGGGAGAGTGGATCACTGGGGTAGCCAGCAAGGGTAGGCCCCGAGTTCACCTCCTGTGACTCCTTCCTCCCACAGGTATGTCAGAGGAGGGGACCTGGGGCAGGAATGCCAGGTCCTCAGGCACTGACTATGGAACCATGGGCCACTCACCTAAATGAGATCCCCTCCCGTTTCCCAGTCTTTCAAATAGGCAGAGCAGTAATCCTTGCATGCCCTATCAAATGTTTGGGCAAACAGAAGAGGATGCTTAGCACAGTTTGGCACATAGCGAAGTCTCCATACATGTCACTATATATAAACTCATGGTTAGGTATGAGCAGCCATGGCAAAGCTCCTGCAGGAAGTCCAGACCCACGCACGGGGCACGCTGTGAACTGTGGGGTGGCAGTGCTGCTTGGCCTCACCGGTGCTTTTCACTTCGCTCAAGTTAGGCTGGACATTTCACCCAGTAGCTCAAGAGTGGAAGACAGTTTAACTACAAAGATCAGTCACTTAAATGGTAGAAATTTTCATAAACATGCTTCGTTCACAATTACTCATATTTCAGCCCTTTCGCCATTTACTTTTGGGTTTCCACAAGTGAGAGCCACCTTAACCTGCTGACTTTTTTTTTATAATACAAAGAAAATATTTGTGTATAGCAACTGATTTTTAAACATTATTTATTTGGAGAGCCGGCTGCTCTTCCGGAAGACCCAGGTTTAATTCCCAGCACCCACTTGGCCATTCATGGGCCATCTATAACTCCAGCTCCAGGAATCTGACACCTTCTTCTGACCTCTTCAGGTACCAGGCATGAATGTGATACACAGGCAAAATACTCATACAACTAAATTTAAAATATATCTATATTTAAAAAAACCATTATAGTGTGTGTGTGCTCATGTCATGGTGAACATGTGGGAGAGAGAGGGCAACTTTACAGAGTCCATTTTCTCTTCCACCATATGAGTCCCATGGGTCAAACTCAGATCAGCAGGCTTAGTGGCAAGTGCCTTTACCCTCAGAGCCATCTCCATTACTCACTTTTGCTTTTTTAACCCTATATTGTAATGGCTGAAGATGAGGAGGTCAGGACTGTCATTTGAGGAAGCCACAACAATGTTTTAAAATTTCCCTTACATCTCTTATCTCTTTCATTTTCCATGCTTCCCCCCCCCCCCACTAGCACAGATTTAAGGAAGGTCTGCAAGATAAATTTATTTAGCATCAAATCTCATTTAGTAGGAATCCCTCTAACAGGAAATGAGCTCATGTCCCCTGCAATGAGGCATGTCATTAACTTCATCTTCGTTCTGGAGGCTTCTGTTCCTGCCTTTGTCATTTCCAAGTCTGTAATTTTTTTTTTTTTTTGAGTATTCAATTAAATGAAGTCACTGTTATTTTATATTTTTAAGAAGGCATGGAAACTAAGCTAGTAACCATAGCAATACAAGCCTGTTTCAACTTTACAATGATTTTCCTCTATCCAGTTTCTTAACAAGCAAATACTGAGTTTATTCAAAGTTCTCTGAACAGTTTCCATTTGTTCATCTCTTATTTCCTGTGTTTCTCTTCATTTCTTCTTTATCTTCTAACTCCTTCATTTTAAACAAAATGTACTTCTTTGATACTTAGAATAAAATAGAAAAATCAGTCATTTTTATTAATTTTTAAAGTTAGCAGACGCAGAGTTGAGATTCACTACGGCATTTCATACATGTATACCCTACCTTGTTATTAGTCAGTGCTCTCCCCAGGCTACTCTTTATCTTACTGTTCCAGTACCTAGAAAACGTCTTTAGGGTAAAGAAAATCCTTTCACCTTGCCCAATAACAGGG